ACAGTATTGAGGGCAGACTGTACATCTGAAAACAAATGGAGATTCTGTAAGTCACCTAATACTTTACATACATATATTTTTACTTTATTATCTTCTGAACAAAATGTACCTATAAGTAGAGGTTAATAACCAAATATATATCCCCATTAACATCATCTGATTCTAAAATTAATAAAATTAGTAAATAATTTACTGTAATGTAATTAATTCAGAAATCAACAACAAAAGTAATCCCAAATTTGGAAATGAAGAAACATACTTTTTGAATTGCCCATGGATCAAGAAAGAAATCATTTAAAAAAGTAAGAAAATAATTTGAACTAATTGGTAATAAAGTCAATACATATTGATACCTGAGTGATATAGGTAGAAAAGCAATACTTGGAGAAAAAATATATGTGTGTAAAGGCTTAGAGAAGGAAAAATAGGCCAAAATTTAATGAACTAACAATCCATATCAACAATTAGAAAAAGAGCAACAAAATAAACCTGAAAATTTTTTAGTGAATAAAACAATGAAGATTAAAGCACAAAGTAAGAAACTAGTAAGCAAACATATAATAGAGAGAATTTAAAAAGTTAAGGGGCTGAGGCTGTAGCTCAGTGGCAGAGCACTTGCCTAGCATGTGTGGGGCACTGGGTTCAATCCTTAGCACTACAAAAAAATGAAACAAATAAAATAAAGCCATGCTGTCCATCTACAACTCCAAAAAATTTTTTTTAAATAGGATGAAAATTTACCAACCACTAATAAATTATTTTTAAAGAGAGCAAAAATCACTGCAGATGTTGCAAATATTACAAAAAGACTAAGAATACATGAAAAGTTTAGCATTATAGCACTAATTTTTCAGGTGAAAAGGCTAACTCCTAGAAAAGAAAAACTCACCAAAATTGACTCAAGAATAAGCAAAAAAACTAATTAACCCTATGACATTAAAGAAAATGAATCAGTAATTAAAAATCCTTAAAAAAGAAAGAAGTTTTGAGGTTCAAATGGCTTTTTGTGAATTCCATTGAAAGGGAAAGAAATATGCAATTTCAATGTTATATGTACTATTCCAAGATTTAGACAAAAAAGAATAATTTCAGTTCATGAAAATATTTTGACTTCAAACCTGACAATGTTAAAAAATAAAATTAAAAGTCTCACTTATAAATAGGAGTGTATAAATCTTAAAGTATTTGAAAAATGAATCCAACAATATATAGATAAGATAATCCATAATGATCAAAATGGATTTATTCCACAAATTCAGGCTGCATTTAATACTGAAAATCAATTTACAAAATCTCTGAGACAGTATGAAAACAGTTCTAAGAGGAAAATTTATAGCATTGAGTGCCTACATTAAAAAATTAGGGAGATCCGAAATAATAAGCTTATGCTCCACCTCAAGGCCTTAGAAAAGAACAAACTAACCCCCCAAACCAGTAGAAGACAAAATAATGAAGATCAAAGCCAAAATCCATGAAACTGAAAATAAGAAAATAATCCACACGATCAATGCAATGAAGAATTGGTTCTTTGAAAAGATAAATAAAATTGACAAACCCTTAGCCAATCTAACCAAAAGAAAGAGTGAGAAGATGCAAATCAACAAGATCAGAAATAGAGAAGGAGATATCACCACAGACCCTTCTGAAATCCAGAGGATTATTAGAACCTATTTTGAAATACGTTCATACTCCAATGAATTGTAAAATCTGGAAGACACTGACAAATTTTTAGATACAGATGATCTGCCCAAATTGAATCAGGAGGTTATAGAAAACCTTAACAGACCGAAATTGAAATAGTAATTAAAAGCCTAACAAAATGTGGATGTTAATACACAAAGGCAGGGAGAACAGAAGACCAGTAGATTAAACAAAGGGGAATGAAGAGAAAGGGAGGGTGATAGGAAAAGGAAAGACAGTGGAATGAATCTGACATTACTTTCCTATGTTCATATACAAATACACCAGAGTGAATCTCCACATCATGTACAGCCACAAAAATGGAATTCTAATTAGAATAAGATATACTCTATGTATGTGTAATACATCAAAATATACTCTACCCGCATGTATATCCAAAAAGAACAAATAAAAAAAAAAAGCCTACCAAAAAAGAAAAGCCCAAGAACTGATGGATTTTCAGTTGTGTTCTATCAGACCTTTACAGAAGAACTAACACCAGTCTTTCTCAAATTATTCCACAAATCTGAAAAGGAGAAAACACTCCCTACTACTTTTTATGAAGCCAGTAAAACCCTGATACCAAAACCAGACAAAGATGCATCAAGGAAAAAAAGCTACAGACCAATATCTCCAAGAACATAAAAGTAATCATCTTTAATAAAATGTTAGTAAACTGCATTCAAAAACACATCAAGGGGAGCTGGGGCTGTAGCTCAGTGGTAGAGTGCTTTGCCTCACATATGTGAGGCACTGGGGTCAATCAGCACCACAAAAGAAAGAAAAAGGAAGGAAGGAAGGAAGGAAGGAAGGAAGGAAGGAAGGAAGGAAGGAAGGAAGGAAGGAATTAAGTCCATCTATATTAAAAAATTAATTATAGGGCTGGAGTTGTGGCTCAGTGATAGAGCGCTCACCTCGCATGTGTGAGACCCAGGGTTTGATCCTCAGAAACCATAAAAATAAATTAAAAAAAAATAAAGATATTGTTTTTTATGTATAATTAAAAAATTAATTATAAAAAAAATCAAGGGGCTGGGGTTATAGCTCAGTGGTAAAATGCTTGCCTAGCACATGTGAGGCCCTGGGTTTGATCCTCAGCACCACATAAAGATAAATAAAATAAAGGTATTATATCCATCTACAACTACAAAAAAATTAAATAGAAAACCACATCAAAACAGACAATACATTATGATCAAGTGGGTTTCATTCCAAGGATGCAAGGTTGGTTCAACTATACAAATCAATAAGTGAAATTCATCACTTAAACAGAATTAAGAATAAAAATCACATGATCATCTCAATAAATGCAGAAAAGGTCTTTGATAAAATCCAACACCCATTCATGTTAAAAGCACTGGAGAAGCTAGGGATCAAAGAAATTTACTATTAATCTCTAATATTATATATAACAAAAATACAAAAAAAACTTCTTTAATGTCTCTCAGTAAAATTTTGTATTTTTTTAAAAGGTCTTATAAATATTTTGGTATATACCCAGGTTCTTATAATTTTAAGAAAGACATATTTCAAGTTTTATTTTCTAACCATTTATTACTTATATACAGAAATAAAATCAATTTTTATGTTAAAAAAAACCACAGAATCACCATCCTTTTCAAAAACAATGTGCTTCTGTGAACACATATGCTCGAAACAGGAAATCTTAGAACTAAAAAGTACTCACCATCTATTGCAGGGTTAGGTTGGTATTCATTTAAAGGTATCTCCATACTCTTTAAGGTAGATAAAAGATCTTTAATTTTAACTTTTCCATCAGAGACACTCTTAACAATGTTCCATGCATCTTCTATCCCTATGTATTTATATTGATGACAAAATGTAAAAGCACTTACTTAAGGTGATCTATCCATATAAACATATAACAATCCTATTTGACTAAAGTTTATTCATTTTCTAGAATACCCAATCTCTTTTGCCTTTTTTAAAATTTATTTCTTACATACATGACAATAGTGGAATGTATTACATTCATAATTATCCATACACAGCACAATTTTTTGTAACTCTGTATATAAAGTATGTTCATGTCAAATTATGCCATTATACATGAGCTCTCTCTTTTTTTTGCATTACATTCTTAATGCACCTTTATACCACAATTTATCATATCTCTGTTTGTATATAAGGTATGTTGACACCAAATTCACATCTTCATACATTTTTTGTATAATGATGACCGTCTCCTTCCACCATGTTTGCTATTCCCCTTCTCCCTCCCTTTCCCTCTCACCCCTATTCCCTGTCTAGCGGAAATCTTCCTCCCATGCTCTCCCTCCCTACCCTACTTTGAGTCACCCCCCTTATATCAGAGAAAACATACGGCATCCTCAAAACTGAAAGCTTCACAAAACTCATAGGTTTTCACACTTGGATTATAAACAAGAAACATTAAAATACTTTATCTTTGGTGTTCAACTCACAAAGTCCAAGAGCAAAATAGCAATGTGATCCTAAATAAAATGCAACCATAATTTTTAAAATCTTTTTAAAATTAGAAAAACCTAGCCCTAGTTTCCTAATCCAAATTTTTGACAAGAATGACAGCACTGTTGATGAGATGTCAATAAACAGATATTTTATTAACCAAGTATTATTCAGTTACATTTTTAATCTCTCTATCCACCAATTTGACTGTCTTTTTTTATTATGTCATCTCTACTTTTTCCCTTTATCAGGAGAAATCTTTAAATGAACAATCTAAGGTCTTAGTGACCTCTGAAACAGAGCTATTTTGTTAGTTTATTTAAAGACCCAACTTTTGGTTAAATTGATAATTTGCTTTTTGTGTGTGTATTTCATTTCAATAACTTCTACTGTTGACTTTATTAGTTTCTGACTACTACTTTTTTGTTATTATTTATGTTGCTGCTTAGGTTCTTGAATTGAACATTTAAGATAAATTGCTTTCAGTATTTCTCATTTTCTAATGAAAACACGGAAATCTATAACATTTCTTGTAAGACTCTTTTGGTCACACTTCACATATTTTAGTATGTGATGCTCTCACTGTTGTCCATTTCTACATAATGTTTAAATTTCAGCTTTTATTTATTCTTTAACCAAGGAATTATTTAGAAAATCATGTTAATAATCTTGAAAACAAATAATTTTAATGTGATTTCATGGTGGTCAGAGTATGTGTTCTGAAAAACTTTCAAAATTAATTGTAATTTTTCTTTGTGCCTTAAATATAAAAGATATTTTGCAAGTACTTTATGAACATTTTTAAAAGAATGTATATCCAATGCCTTTATAATATGAAATACTATATGTTTCCTAAATCAAGTTTATTAATACTGCTATTAAGTCTCAATCTCTTTTTCTCTTTGCGTTACTCTGAGTGTAAATATATATATACATATATATGTGTGTATATATATATAAATTTATTTACATAAAAATAAATGTCTATATAAAAATTTATTAGGAGATATATTTATATAAGTATATATTTATATTATATAATATAATAATATATTTATAAAATTTATCTCATATATATTTCCTAATAAATTTTACCTATATTGTCAATTTCATTTTTTAATTTAATTAATTTTTATTATTACTAAAGATTTCTGGTAATTGAATGTTGATCATTCAATTCATGGTATACTATCATCACTAATCTACACAAGTCTCCTGTTTGTTTTCTTATTTTTCTCCTTTAACCCTTATCTCCACTTCTATCCATCTACCCTATATAAGCACCAACTCCAGTGTATTTAATATATTTCTATTCAATCTAACTCATCTATTTAGAGTTTATGTGTTTACCTGAAAAAAATTTGATGTTGTTTTATATGCATTATTATGAATGTTATTTACATAAAGCATTTTGTGCTACAAATTTATTCTAATAACTATATTACTAAACCTATCTACAGTGCAAATATAACTCTAGTTTCTTGATTCTGACCATATTTTATGTAACCATTCCCTTAGTGATGAACACCTAGATAAACTGTGATTTCTTTTTTTCCACAAACAATATTGTACATGTCTCTACAAGAAACTTTCCCTGTGTTATTTACCAAATAATAGGATTATTGGGTCATAAGGAATATGCATACTTAATTTTACCAATTATTGATAGATTGCTATTCAGAATGGCAATTCTATTTTATCTATCCACCAGTAATTTATGAATATTACCAATGCTCTTTAAGTACATATTATCTATTTGCATTTCTCCCTCTGTATGACATTTTATATCATTAATCATTTTCTAATTTTTTCTTTCTATTGATGATTTGCAGAATTTTTATGTGTTTGCAGCATTAATCTTTTATTGGTTTAAAAGTTGCAATTATCTTCTTTTAGTCTGTTACTATTGTAATTTTTAGAGTCCTTATCGAACAGAAATCTTCAATTTTGATGTAATCCAATCCTTTTTCATACTTGAGTTGTACTTTTAAATCTTATTTAAGAAATCCTTCATGACCCAAAGATATAATATTTTTTCCAACATTTCTTCCACCAGATCTATAGTTTTCCTTTTAAAATCCATTTTAGTATTTATTTGATTCATTTGAAGATATTTTATATAAGATATGAAGAAGGGATTCAACTCAATTTTTCTCCACACCATTTTCCAAATCATACCCACTTATGGGTATGATTTCTTTCATAACCCAAATTGCTATATACATGAGTCTTTGCAGGTTCTATGTAGTAATGCACTGGTCTACTTGCAACCCTATTATAATAGCATTATAAGTGTGTCTGTATATCTGATAAGGAAAGTTCCCCATCATGGTTCTTTAAATAGCCTTAGCTATTCATAGATGGGTAATCTTTTTAAAAACTGACAGAATTATTTCGTCAAGGATCCCACCAAAAATTTCCTATGGCATTAATTAGAATTATGTTCAAATAACAGATTAATTTAGAAACAATATGTTCTTTTAATGCCCATTTTAAAACCCCAATCCTATGACTCCAATTCTCAGTCTCAAGGTCTTTGATCCAATTTTGTTTTTATATCTCATTGTGCTAAAAATGTCAAAACAAAATAAAGCTCAGTTAGGCAGTTAGATAAAGTTTTGACAAAGAGCAAGAGAATAATTAGAAGAAATTAATAAGAAAAAGTAAATCAGGAAAGTGCAAAAGCCACTAGAAGTGATTAGAGAAGCCAAAAGCTAATCTGATTAATTCAATAAGATAAAAAAACCTCTGATAAGATTGATAGAGAAAAAATAAAGAATGCAACTAAACAATACCTAAAGAGGAAGAAATATAGAAATAATAGATTTTACAAGTGACTCAAGATTATTATCAAAAATATGTTCATAAATTTGAAAATCTATCTAGGGTTTTAAGCATATATATTTAAATATTTCCTATATTTTTAAATGACAAAATGAAAAAGAGGCCTTGGTAGAGTTCTGTTAAAAGTTACACACAGGGTTGGGTTTGTGGCTCAGCGATAGAGTGCTCGCCTAGCACACGTGAAGCCCTGGGTTCAATCATCAGCACCACATAAAAATAAATAAATAAAATAAAGGTATCCAACTACAACTAAAAACTATTCTTAAAAAAAGTTACACACACACACACACACACACACACACACACACACACCTACACATACCAATCCAGAAACACAAAGCTTCATATTTACATCTATTTCATACTTACTTTGGCACTCAATAAATTCATCAGTGTTGGCCAATTTTCTGATAAAATCCTCAAAATGCACTACTTCATCTTTTAAAAAAAGGAAATAAAAAATTAAAGAAGAAACCATTTAGTTATTCTTATAAAAATACCATTCAATGTTATGAAAACCAGAGTTATAAAACAAAAAAATAAAGTGGAATACTGACAATTGCAGAATAGATGTAAAATAAAAGCTTACTTTGAAAATCAATTGTCTTAATATAAATCCATCAACTTAGAATGTAAAAAAAATGTTTTGAATTTTAAGAGACAGATTGGCTATATCTCCTTGAGCATTTAGGGTGAAGCTTCCAAAATACTCAAACTTTGTTGGTTTAAAATGAAATAATTACTCACCATTAGGATTGGTATTATCCAAAGTCTTCTGTATTTTGTCATCTGTTAGATAGATTCCTATAGCATTTAAATTTTGATGAATATCAGAAACAGCTCTAAGATCATTTTTGTGAATATCCATGTTGTAAAATTTATCTTCAACTCCTGGGCATAGATAAGAGAAAATTAGGAATAGAAGAGAATTTCCTCAACTTGACCAAAAGTTTGAAAACTCTATAGCTAACATCATCCTTAATACTGAAACACTAACTAGATTCCCTCTAAATCACAAATACATCAAAGATGGGGACTCTCACCACTTCTATGTAGCATTATATCAGAGATTATAGCCAGTGCAACAAACTACTAAAAAGAAAGGCATTAAGATAGCAAAATGGGGAAAATTCCCATTTTCCACAGAGGAGATAATTATAATTTTTTAAAAATCTATTAAAACTATATTTCAGTAAAATTACAGGATGCAAAGTCAATATAAAAATTGGATTTCCATTTAGTAACAACAAAAATTGGACTCTACAATTTATTATGCAAATACCATTTACAACAACAAAAGAAAATATAGAATATCTGGAATAAACCTAAGAAAAAGGTATAAGACACTTCTATACTGAAAACTAAACACTATGATCAAAACAAATTAAAGGGGGCTGGGTTTGTGGCTCAGGGGTAGAGCACTCACCTAGCATGTGCGAGGTCCTGGGTTCAATCCTGAGCACCACATAAAAATAAATAAAGTATTGTGTCCAACTACAACTAAAAAATAATTTTAAAAAAACAAATTAAAGGATCCAGACATCACCATGCCTGTAATCCCAAAGGCTTGGAAAGCGAGGCAGAAGGATCACAAGTTCAAAGCCAGCCTCAGCAAAATCAAGACGCTTTTGCTCAGTGAGACCCTGTCTCTAAATAAAATACAAAATAGGGCTTGGGATGTGGCTCAGTGGTTGAGTGCCCCTTAATTAAATTGCAAGTATCCAAACAAATAAATTAATTAATAAAATAAATTAAAGGAGATATAAATAAGACAAAATATATGATATACAAATGTCAACTCCCTATAAATTTATTTGCAGATCCACCATAACATCAAACCTTCATCACCATTTCTTGGAAAATGGACAAGCTCATTCTAAATCTTATCTGAAAATGCAAAGGACCTATAATTGCCAAAATGGCATAATTCACCACAATAACAGAAACCAAAGAAGAAGAACCTATAAGCATTTAAATAAATGAAAAAAGCATTTGACAAAATTCAATATCCAAAAAAAAAACAAAAACAAAGAAACAAACAGTATCTCATTTCAAAGCATATTATAAAGCTTCAGGAATCAAGACAGTACAGTATGATGTAAAGGCAGAAGACAGATTAATAAAAAAAAAAAACACTCCAGAAATAGATCTACATGCCAGCTAAAGAAGAGATATAGATCAAAGGAAAAGAAATTAGAATATAAAAATAAACTAAAGCATTTATGATCAATTGGTTTTTATGCAGTGCTGGGGATCAAACCTGGGGCTTTGAATTAAAGCCCCATTTACTGGGCAAGCACTCTACCACCATAATACATCCCCAGGCCTGGTCAGTGTTTTTTAATAAGGCAGCCAAAATAAGTCAAAGGGGAAAAAAAACCAACAAGTGGTTCTGGGACAACTCAATATCCACATGTAAAAAAATGAAGCTGGACCATCTATCTCCTATCACATACAGAAATTATCTCAAAATGGATTGAAGACATACATATAAGAGCTAACACTCTTAAGACTTTTTAACTGGTAAGGACTATAGGATTCTTTGGTGGGGGTGGGGGTAATGAAAATATTCTAAAATTGATTTTGTTGGTGGATGCACATTATATGAATATACTAACAGTCACTGAATTGCATATTTTAAATGGATAAATTGCATATTATGTAAATAATATCACAATGAGTCTGTTTAAGAAAAAAAAATACACACACAAACTGCAAACTGAATTCTGTAAAGTTGTAAAGACTAGTAAATGAAAAAAAAGAATTGGGCTGGGGTTGTGGCTTAGCAGTAGAGTGCTCACCTAGCACGTGCAAGGCCCTGGTTCAATCCTCAGCACCACATAAAGATAAATAAAATTAAGGTATTGTGTCCAGTTACAACTAAAAAAATAAATATTAAATAAATTAATTAATTTAAAAAGGATTGTCTTTTCAACAAATGATGCTAGAATTATATAATCCATATGCCCAATAAAATAAGCTTCAATTCCTACTTTGTACCAGATACAAAAAATACAATGGACTTGTAAAACCTAAAACTATAAAAGAAAAACAAAGAAGGTAGCTTTTTAACTTTGAGTTAAGGAAATATTTCTCACACTCATGTTTTCATTTCCTGTTATTATAGGGTTCATGATGTGGATATAGTGCCTTACTTTTGGCGATGCTGACCTTGATCACTTGGTTAAGGTGGTTTCTGCTCCATTTCTCCTCTACTCTAATGCTTTCCTTCCTTTTGTAGTTAATAAATATCTTGGTGGAGATAGCTTTAACCAAAAAAATCCTATTTCTCCTCAAATTATCACTCACTAATTTTAGTATCAATCAGTGGTTCTTCTCTGCAGCAATATGATTATTATTGCTTCAGCCCAATAGTGATGCTCTATTTTTCTTTAACTTACATGTTTACTTATGGAATTCTACTGTAAAAAAGAACTATAATTTCTCCCCCATTTGTTTATTTATTTGATTTTTATTTATGAAAGTTTAGACTTGTGTACATTTATTTTATTCCCTGACTTATAATTCAATTATAGCAATATTCATTTTATTATTCAAATTGTTCTAACTTCAGCCATTAAGAGCCTTTTTAGATGGACTCCTGCATTGTTTTGCATTGTGGTTGTAGTTGTGGTTGTTGTTATTGTTTGGACAAGCCTCCATCTCTTTTAAAGCCTTACCTTACTCACTAGCAAGAAAAAAATATAAAATCTTTGACTTTCTGAGTCTAGTTTATTTCACTTAATAACATATTCTCCCATTCCATCTATTTACTACCAAATGCCACAATTTCAATCTTCTTTATAGCTGAGTAGAACTCCATTGTATGTGTGTGTGTGTGTGTGTGTGTGTGTGTGTGTGTGTG